CTATGTCGAGACCCCGCCAGTCAGCAGTCGATTAGAGTGATATAGGTGGTAGCGCGCGTCAATAGGCATATATCCATGTCGAATAATAATTTCACCAAAAGCGTTTTCGCATAGCTGAAATTTGGCAAGGTAATAGTAAAAACAATATATTTATTGAAAAAAACAGTCAGACACTTCTATGTCGAGACCCCGCCAGTCAGCAGTCGATTAGAGTGATATAGGTGGTAGCGCGCGTCAATAGGCATATATCCATGTCGAATAATAATTTCACCAAAAGTGTTTTCGCATAGCTGAAATTTGGCAAGGTAATAGTAAAAACAATATATTTATTGAAAAAAACAGTCAGACACTCCTATGTCGGGACTCCCTCAGTCAGCAGTCGATTAAAATGAATAGAATAGAATAGAATTTTACTCTATATATAATATCCATTTCGATGAATAATTTTATTTTTATAATTTAAATTATTTGGAATCGGAAACGGTAAAATAAAATTGTACATGCAGTTAAAAAGTTTGCGGTTAGAAAAAAGCCCGATTCGTATAAATATTACTTGACCATTTAATCAGCAGTACTGTGATAGTATACCTATAGTAAGTTTCATTAAATACTTATAATCGTCGCCGATTTTATAAAATACAAAAAAAAAATTCTAATCACATCTGCCGCTTCCCTTCCCCTAATCTCGACCTAACAGTACCATAATGAAGTTTCCGAATTCGAATGCATATACGCCTTATTCAAGTATACGCGCTTACGCTTGCAACTTACAGGTTTACACTTACTCATTAAGAGAAAAAAAAATGTATTTTACCGTTTCCGATTCCAAATAATTTAAATTATAGAAATAAAATTATTCATCGAAATGGATATATATAGAGTAAAATTCTATTGACGCGCGCTACCACCTATATCACTTTAATCGACTGCTGACTGAGGGAGTCCCAACATAGAAGTGTCTGACTGTTTTCTTCAATAAATATATTGTTTTTACTATTACCTTGCCAAATTTCAGCTATGCGAAAACACTTTTGGTGAAATTATTATTCGACATGGATATATGCCTATTGACGCGCACTACCACCTATATCACTCTAATCGACTGCTGACTGGCGGGGTCCCGACATAGAAGTGTCTGACTGTTTTTTTCAATAAATATATTGTTTTTACTATTACCTTGCCAAATTTCAGCTATGCGAAAACACTTTTGGTGAAAGTATTATTTGACATGGATATATGCCTATTGACGCGCGCTACCACCTATATCACTCTAATCGACTGCTGACTGGCGGGGTCCCGACATAGAAGTGTCTGACTGTTTTTTTCAATAAATATATTGTTTTTACTATTACCTTGCCAAATTTCAGCTATGCGAAAACACTTTTGGTGAAATTATTATTCGACATGGATATATGCCTATTGACGCGCGCTACCACCTATATCACTCTAATCGACTATCGACTGCTGACTGGCGGGGTCCCGACATAGAAGTGTCTGACTGTTTTTTTCAATAAATATATTGTTTTTACTATTACCTTGCCAAATTTCAGCTATGCGAAAACACTTTTGGTGAAATTATTATTCGACATGGTTATATGCCTATTGACGCGCGCTACCACCTATATCACTTTAATCGACTGCTGACTGGCGGGGTCCCGACATAGAAGTGTCTGACTGTTTTTTTCAATAAATATATTGTTTTTACTATTACCTTGCCAAATTTCAGCCATGCGAAAACACTTTCGGTGACGTCATTTTTTTGACCACTTCAAAGTCGCGCTGACTCTACGTGTCCCCGTATTTCTTTGTCTGACTGTTAAATTATGGTTCTACATTATATTCGCATGCTCTTTGCAAATTTTCAGCTTTGCGAAAACTGTTGCGAGGTGTTGATTAAAAATACACCTTTGCGCGCATCTCAGCGCCAGGTGTCCCGGAACTGGAACTGCTGACTGTAGCCTAGCTTTGTAGCACTAAAATACTACTCATTCTGAAAATATGAGCCTTGCGAAAACTCTTGCATATTTTCGACGCCAGCTCCTGGACTATTTATCGTAGAATAACGAGGTTTGAACAGTTATTCTTAGATTTTTTTACACTACAACTTTAATTTTTGGCGCACACCCCCTTTAACCCCCACCATTTTGGACTTCAGGAAAATAAAACACCGAAATAAAGGTTGGTGCACGAGGGGGCAGGGGATAACAAAAATGAGTAGTTCAAGTGTACGACACTCTAAGCACTGGAACGCCCAAAGTAATTGTGGAGCACTCCTGAGCTGCTCAGGAGTAACTCGAATAGGTCACTAGAAAGCACTTCAGGTAGGGAGTCTAAAATCACGATTCGACACACGACTCGACAACGAGACGCAACTCGATACCGTCCCTGTCGTCTCGAAAGGTATGATTCCAATCAAGGAGAATACACACAAGGAGTGCTTATCGGGCTCGTTTTTAGTACAGTGACTCTATAACCCACAGTGGCGACAATTGCTGTCTCATTTTTGATTGGTTCTAAAATCCCATATATTTATATTGAAAACATCGCCATCTTGTTCCCAACCCCTTATTACTTTTAAATATGAATATATGGGATTTAGGTGAACATTGAACATTCATCATAAATCATGGAAAACAACGTATTTGATGGACCTAATAATGGTCATCAAATACGTCGATTTCAATTTTTTATGATAGATGTCCATTTAAATCCTATATAATTAATATTTAAAAGTAACAAGAGGTTGGGAACAAGATGGCGGCGAAACCTCTATTGTCGCCACTGTATGTAAAGGTTTATTTAGCCACTGTAGTTTTTAGTAATCGCCGCCATATTGGTTTTCAACTGTTTTCAACCATTGCCGACGTCATAACTAAGTCATCAGCTGTTTAAACAGTCCACGTCAAGGCGAGAAACGCCATGCTGTTTACGTCACAACTGGTTGTTTGGCGTGATGGGGGGGGTGTAGGGGGGATTTGTTACATAAAGACCTTATGAGGATAGGCCATCCTGTTGTAGTAGTGTGTATCATCCTTGGATTCCAATGAGATTCCAACCTAGGATTAGAATCGTCAGAAAAAATCGTCTCGTTGTCGAGTCGTGTGTGGAATCGTGATTTTAGAACCTCCGACCTGGAGTGTACCCAACGCTTATAGACAAGACCCAACGTATTCTGTTGGTATTTGTTAACTGTTTACAACCCGTTTTGGTTCTGGTGAACGCAGCCATTGTGAATGTGAAACTTTTAAAATATCTAAAACGCGAGAAAATGAGAAAACACCTGAAATTAATTAAGGGCGGGTATTATAAAACTACTTTGACAGTTAACTTGAAGTTAATACTTTCTGATTTACATATAAGGGCGGGTATTATAAAGCTACTTTGAGAGTTAACTTAAAGTTAACTTCTGGAATTACATGTAATTCAAAAAGTTAACTTCAAGTTAACTGTCAAAGCAGTTTTATAATACCCACCCTAATACCCACCCTAAGGGCGGGTATTATAAAACTACTTTGAGAGTTAACTTGAAGTTAACTTCTTGAATTACATGTAATTCAAAAAGTTAACTTGAAGTTAACTGTCAAAGCAGTTTTATAATACCCGCCTTAAATAATGAAACCGAAATTGGAAATGATCACATATTTCGAATAACAAGTGAGTATAAATAAACCTTAAAAGAAGCAAACCCTTTTGATAGGTATGGTAGGTACCCATCAGTTTTTTCCAATAATATTTACCTCCCGTATCATAATGCATTTATTGTTTAAATAATGTAGATTTAATTAGCTATTTGTATATCCATACTTCTCATGTGCTTTTAAATTTAATGCTAGTACTGAAAAACTATTCAAAAATTAGATTTTTATGCACCCAAAATATGTTTTTTACCTAGGTACCTTTATTAATTACAAAAAGAAATAAGCTTTTTTCGTCTTCACTTGCACTGCTGCTCGATAATCATGTTTATCGTATCACATATCCAGAACTTTTTGTAGAGTATTTGCCGCCAATATTCCTCCATATTTGAAAGCGCCGGCAATAGTTGTATTCCTTTCTCACTAGGAGGAGCTCCGGAACAGCTCCGGGGTAGCTCCGGGCCGTTACGCGCTTATTCCTTTCGAAAAGTGTTTGTTGCACCTGAGTGCTCAAGCCCGACTCAAACCATTTAAATGCATGAAAATCAGCGCATCTGTTCCTTTCAAATCGGGGTCGACTAACACCGGAGCGAGTAGCTCTAGTGTTTTAAGCTCTTGAAAAAAATAAAACTAGTGACAGCTGTACGACTTCCAAAAGACAGCTCGTACCGATAAAACTGAACTCGGAGCAAAAATCGTTGCCCTGATTTTCCAGTGAAAAACAAAAACGTGCAATGAAATTATTCAAAGTACACACTAGCCGCTTTCCAGCTGTGTGCTTCAAGCACGGTGCAGCACAGTGTTCTGTGTTTGAAACGCAAAAGTTAGCAGCTCTCGAAGCGCAGTTCAGCTGGAACACGAACACGCGCTTGAAGCATTTGCGCGCGCAAAAGCTCGATTGCATGCTCAAAAGCGTCAGCTGGAAAGTGGCTACTAGTGTTATCAATAGTTGTATTCCTTTCAAGAGTTTGGAACACTCGAGCTACTCGCTCCGGTGTTCAGTCGCCCCCGATTTGCAGGGAACAGATGCGTGGTCCAACAAACACTTTTCGAAAGGAATAAGTGCGTGAAGCCCCGGAGCTGTACCGGAGCTCCTCTTAGGGCGGGTATTATAAAACTTCTTTGAGAGTTAACTTAAAGTTAACTTCTGAAAATACATGTAATTCAAAAAGTTAACTTCAAGTTAACTGTCAAAGCAGTTTTATAATACCCGCCCTGGGTGTGAAAGGAATACAACTATTAGGGACAATAGGTATACAAAAGGGAAGGTAACACACATCGGTATCGATACCCGTACATATAGTCTAAGATCGGTATCGAAACAAAAATATCGACACTGTATCATATCGATAGTATTGGAATATCCCTGATTCCAGCAGCATCATAACCCTAAAATGTATGCTTTTAGATTAGAATATTAGAACAATTTTGAAAACATAATTTAAAATACTTGTTAAAAATGTCTAAAATAACCAATTTATTAACTAGATGCATAAAGCACCAAATTCGACAACCAAATATACGCCACTTCACAACAACTTATACATGTTTTGTATCAAAAAACAACCCTGAAGCCACAGAAATAGCCTCTTCCTATGAACAATTCAAAATTGACCAACAGCGAGATTTGAAGGAATCTTCTGAAGAAATTCTGGACGTCTACAAGGAAAGACTTAAATATTCGACACTTCTGGAAGAAAATGAGGAGACTACAAGTAGATATGCTAATTTGAACCTAACTCGAGGAGTACATGGAGTTTATGATATAGAAGACCTAATTGAAGTCCTAAAAAATCAACAGGCTGAAGAAATTTTCGTAGCTAGCATCCCCAAAGAAATAAAATATGTTGACTACATTGTGGTAGTTTCTGGAAGATCACAGAGACACATGCAAGCCATGGCACAATTTGTTAAAAGAGTCTATAAACTCAAAAGGAATAGTTTGGATATTGTGCCTAAGGTTGAAGGAGAAAATTCTCCGGACTGGATAGCCATGGATATGGGCAATATTGCTCTGCATATATTTTCCAAAAATAGTAGGTTGGTTTACGATCTTGATTGTTTGTGGGCGGTGGGACCCAAATATGATGAAGAGTTTAATAAAAAAGAAGCTTTGTCTAGTTTACTGGAAAGTCATACATTCTCTCTGGAAGGTTTGGAACCAGCAAAATGAAATGTTTAGGTACCTACCTATATTATACATTCACAGCCTGATAAATATACCCTTGTTATATATGTATACCTTATGTTAGAACCCTGGCTAGAACACCTCTTGGAGGGACTGCGTGTGACAATCAAAGTGAGGAGTTTCATGCAATAAATGTGTTAAAAGTTTGTATTTCTTTCAGGTTTTCAAATAACGGCATTCCATTGGACTTTTTTTGAGATTTTTTAGAAAAATGATGTGCCTATATTATCTCTGGGTATAGGAATTTTGATTAAAAAAATTGTACCTATCTAAATATCTTGTAAAATAAAAATCGTTAATTGCATATTCTTTGGTTCATTTATTTATTAGAAATTTAATAATATATCATCCAAAAGTAATACATGTACCCGAGGGGCTTTTCACCCAAGGAAAACGGTGTACAAATTCCTGGGAATACTTGGAAATAGCTAGAAATACTTAGAAGTATCTAGAAATACTTTCGAAATACCTAGAAATGCTTAGAAATACTTGGTAATACTTGTGAATACTTCGAGGAATACCTAGAAATACTTTGAAATACTTGGTAATACGTGCCGAATGATGTAAGAAAACAGTTTTTGTTTCTGAGCTTCCTGAGCGCTGCTTCTTCTCATAAATTACATAGGTACTTTTTTTGAATTTTTACAGTGCCAGTTTGCTTTATTTGATTGTGAGAACCTCGGATTATTCAAAAAAGAGGTCAAAAAGCAGTAATAACAAGGATAATAAAGAATCTTGTATTACCATTGAATTAAATGATGGTCAAAGTATATTGGTAAGAAAATCTGCATTATGTTGGTTTTTTGATGCTAATAATAGCAGACTTTCTACTGACCGCATTTACCTATAGAGTTTAAGGGATGAGAAACCACAAAAAGTCAAAATCCAGAAAAACAGCTTTCTCTAGAGTTTCTAGCGGATCTTTGATTAAATCTTGTAAACGCATTAAAATTCCTCACAAAAGAATTCCTTACATTGAAAAATTATAGCTCCTCTAATTCATGATCGTATTTTGATTCTGAGAACTTTTCTGATGAATGACTAAAAAATCCTGTAACATGAAATTTTTTAAAACAAATTTAGACAATTTTGAATGGCCATTGAGAGAAGATAGTAGAGCGATTGAGAATAAGTTTAATTTTTTTTTTGGCCCTATCAGCCCATTCCAAGTTTTGTTGGTACCTAACTAAAAGTGTTTGTTTTCCTCTACCGAAGTATACCTTGTCAAATCAATGTAGTGGTAACAAAATGAAATTTAGCCTATTGTTTAAATTGAATTAGCTAGTAGGTAAAACTTTAACATATTAAGAGAATACTTGGAAATACCTGGAAATACTTGGAAATACTTAGAAATACTAAGATATATGTACTTAGAAATATGTACTCAGAAATACTTTGAAATACTAGGGAATATTTGGAAATACTACTCAGAAATACTCGAAAATACATGGAAATACCGTGAAATGTTGAGAAAAATGGAAATCGGTGTACTAATTTTGGTAGGTGAAAAGCCCCTCGCATGCATGTACCTATATATTTATTTATTTAAATATATTTATTTATTTATTTCTTTATTTACTGGCAAGACCCATTAAAAGTTTCAAAAGAAAAAAACAACAAGAAACATTAAGTACCTTACAACTAAGTAAACATAGGCCAGTGATACTTGGCGTAGTAACAGGATAAAAATACATATAAATTATTAACAGTAAAACATTAAATCAGCTATAGGTACCTATAAGAAAATACAGGACAAACATAAATAATGACTGATCAAGATGACTAGAAATTCTTAGCTATCAAACTTGGTATCACAAACAAATGAGGAGAATTACATTAGAGAGTTAAGCTCTCTTTTAAAGCTATTTATGGGTCCAAAAAAATCCAGGCTACCATGGGTGTAATATAATCGAGAAGTTCTGGAGATGAATGTATTGAAACCATAGTTTGTACGGTGATTTCTTTCTGAGAAGGTTATGGCAGAGCGGGTGTCCCTTGCTGGGACGTGAAGCCCTATTCTGGACAGTGGACAGTAGGTATGCGGAATCACTAATGGAGTTCAGTACCTTGTAAAAAGTATATAAATCTCTTTGATTGCGTCTAGCTGCCAAGCGTTGTAGATTGAAGCGTCTGTATAGGTCGTCATAGTCATATACACCGGTGTGAAGTTGGTGGCAAAAGATAGTAGCCAAATTTTCCGAAGATACCCGAACGCCCAGTGGCGTCGGGTCATATTTTAATCGACAGAAATTGTATTTTACCTCACTTAACTTAGTTATATAAAATTCTACTACAGTTACATATCAGCGAAAAACAACCCATATTCTTAGGGAAATTATATCAAGGGGTATAGGAGAGGGATTTTTTTTAATGTTATTTTGTTTTTTGAAATATCTCGAAATCTGCTCGTTTCTACAGATTTATATTTGAACCACAGTTAACTTAGGTACTAATTCAATTTTAAAAAAATATTTCATCCCCAGCAACCCGGGACAAGGGGTGCAACTGGAGGTTGGAAGCATATTTTTTGAATTATTTTGAAATATCTCGAAATCTGCTCGTTTCTACAGATTTATATTTGAACCACAATTAACTTAGGTACTAATTCAATTTTAAAAAAATATTTCATCCCCAGCAACCCGGGACAAGGGGTGCTACTGAGGGTTGGAAGCATATTTTTTGAAATATCTCAAAATCTGCTCGTTTCTACAGATTTATATTTGAACCACAGTTAACTTAGGTACTAATTCAATTTAAAAAAAATATTTCATCCCCAGCAACCCGGGACAAGGGGTGCAACTGGAGGTTGGAAGCATATTTTTTGAATTATTTTGAAATATCTCGAAATCTGCTCGTTTCTACAGATTTATATTTGAACCACAGTTAACTTAGGTAATAATTCAATTTGAAAAAAATATTTCATTCCCAGCAACCCGGGACAAGGGGTGCTACTGAGGGTTGGAAGCATATTTTTTGAAATATCTCAAAATCTGCTCGTTTCTACAGATTTATATTTGAACCACAGTTAACTTAGGTACTAATTCAATTTTAAAAAAATATTTCATCCCCAGCAACCCGGGACAAGGGGTGCTACTGAGGGTTGGAAGCATATTTTTTGAATTATTTTGAAATATCTCGAAATCTGCTCGTTTCTACAGATTTATATTTGAACCACAGTTAACTTAGGTACTAATTCAATTTTAAAAAAATATTTCATCCCCAGCAACCCGGGGCAAGGGGTGCAACTGGAGGTTGGAAGCATATTTTTTGAATTATTTTGAAATATCTCGAAATCTGCTCGTTTCTACAGATTTATATTTGAACCACAGTTAACTTAGGTACTAATTCAATTTTAAAAAAATATTTCATCCCCAGCAACCCGGGGCAAGGGGTGCAACTGGAGGTTGGAAGCATATTTTTTGAATTATTTTGAAATATCTCGAAATCTGCTCGTTTCTACAGATTTATATTTGAACCACAGTTAACTTAGGTACTAATTCAATTTTAAAAAAATATTTCATTCCCAGCAACCCGGGACAAGGGGTGCTACTGAGGGTTGGAAGCATATTTTTTGAAATATCTCAAAATCTGCTCGTTTCTACAGATTTATATTTGAACCACAGTTAACTTAGGTACTAATTCAATTTTAAAAAAATATTTCATCCCCAGCAACCCGGGGCAAGGGGTGCAACTGGAGGTTGGAAGCATATTTTTTGAATTATTTTGAAATATCTCGAAATCTGCTCGTTTCTACAGATTTATATTTGAACCACAGTTAACTTAGGTACTAATTCAATTTTAAAAAAATATTTCATTCCCAGCAACCCGGGACAAGGGGTGCTACTGAGGGTTGGAAGCATATTTTTTGAAATATCTCAAAATCTGCTCGTTTCTACAGATTTATATTTGAACCACAGTTAACTTAGGTACTAATTCAATTTTTAAAAAATATTTCATCCCCAGCAACCCGGGGCAAGGGGTGCAACTGGAGGTTGGAAGCATATTTTTTGAATTATTTTGAAATATCTCGAAATCTGCTCGTTTCTACAGATTTATATTTGAACCACAGTTAACTTAGGTACTAATTCAATTTTAAAAAAATATTTCATCCCCAGCAACCCGGGGCAAGGGGTGCAACTGGAGGTTGGAAGCATATTTTTTGAATTATTTTGAAATATCTCGAAATCTGATCGTTTCTACAGATTTATATTTGAACCACAGTTAACTTAGGTACTAATTCAATTTTAAAAAAATATTTCATTCCCAGCAACCCGGGACAAGGGGTGCTACTGAGGGTTGGGAGCATATTTTTTGAAATATCTCAAAATCTGCTCGTTTCTACAGATTTATATTTGAACCACAGTTAACTTAGGTACTATTTCAATTTTAAAAAAATATTTCATCCCCAGCAACCCGGGGCAAGGGGTGCAACTGGAGGTTGGAAGCATATTTTTTGAATTATTTTGAAATATCTCGAAATCTGCTCGTTTCTACAGATTTATATTTGAACCACAGTTAACTTAGGTACTAATTCAATTTTAAAAAAATATTTCATTCCCAGCAACCCGGGACAAGGGGTGCTACTGAGGGTTGGAAGCATATTTTTTGAAATATCTCAAAATCTGCTCGTTTCTACAGATTTATATTTGAACCACAGTTAACTTAGGTACTAATTCAATTTTAAAAAAATATTTCATCCCCAGCAACCCGGGACAAGGGGTGCTACTGAGGGTTGGAAGCATATTTTTTGAATTATTTTGAAATATCTCGAAATCTGCTCGTTTCTACAGATTTATAGTTGAACCACAGTTAACTTAGGTACTAATTCAATTTTAAAAAAATATTTCATCCCCAGTAACCCGGGACAAGGGGTGCTACTGAGGGTTGGGAGCATATTTTTTGAAATATCTCAAAATCTGCTCGTTTCTACAGATTTATATTTGAACCACAGTTAACTTAGGTACTAATTCAATTTTAAAAAAATATTTCATCCCCAGCAACCCGGGACAAGGGGTGCAACTGGAGGTTGGAAGCATATTTTTTGAATTATTTTGAAATATCTCGAAATCTGCTCGTTTCTACAGATTTATATTTGAACCACAGTTAACTTAGGTACTAATTCAATTTTAAAAAAATATTTCATTCCCAGCAACCCGGGACAAGGGGTGCTACTGAGGGTTGGAAGCATATTTTTTGAAATATCTCAAAATCTGCTCGTTTCTACAGATTTATATTTGAACCACAGTTAACTTAGGTACTAATTCAATTTTAAAAAAATATTTCATCCCCAGCAACCCGGGACAA